TATTTACCGATTTATTTTTAGAAAGTTAAAATTAATTACATACTTCATTTCGCGAGAAATAAATTTTCCCTTTTCAACTCAGTAATTTTTACCCTTTTTTTTTCTTCTTTTTATTTGATAATTAATTGTAGCAACATACTCACAATATTTTCTAAAGAGTTCAAAAATTAAATAACACTTACAAGAGCTTTAAAATCTAGTTCTTTCATAAATAATATTGTGACACAACACAATTTTTTTATGATTGACTATAAGTCTTGTAATAGGATTTTTCCACGAAACTTTAAGATTTACAAAGATCAGGAAACGATTCTCATGCCAAGCCCGTAAACATAAAATTTCTAACATCCATAAAAAAAATACTATACAAACAAAGATAAAAAGAAAAATAGAAAATACAGTAAAAGATTGCATTGCCACTATTCCTTACAGTGTGCAATATCATAGTCTTCAAAGTTGACCTGAATCTCTTGGAGCACAATTGTTGTAATGTCACGTGATTGTCAAAAAAAAAAGAGCACAAAAGAGAAAAACAAGTGGAAACTTTATAACCCTGATAAAAAAAAATTTTATTCCTTTCAAAAACATTGCTAAACTGATCATCTTTCGTAAATATTTATCCTTAGAAAAAAAAAACAGCATGAATAATTAAATAATTAAAAATATCGAGTTAGAATGAAAGAATTTTTGTGGTAGAAGAAAAATGGAATTAAAAATTAAAAATGAGAAAAAACAAAATAATGAATAGAATTAAATGAAATAAAATTTGTTGAGCCGGAATGGAAGAATTAAAAAGAAGATGAATATATAACAAGATACTACTAGGGAATACTTCCAAGAGGTGACACAAGCGCGGTAATTACAAATACCAAAGCAATGAGAGTCTTTAATCAAGGGGATACCCCATAGGGCAGTAAAAGAACACACAAACAAGACAAATTGAACTGTCTCACTTTTCCACGATACATATTTATATTTAGACTATCATATCCTACATTTTTAATCATACTTTTTTCATTTTCAACATAACACTAGCTATGGCTATGTTTATTTTGTTTTTTATTTAGAGTTTTTTTTTTTGGTTGAATATGACAATTATCTGCAGCTGCCAACTGGAAGATATCTAAGCAGGAAAATCTTCCAAAGGGTAATACTAGAATTTACAAATGAATTCACTTAGTCATTGCACCCCATTTAGCAATAAACTCAAGTCTCTTCGATTCAACACCTTCATAATAATACTGATAGATATTTATGATGGGTCTGAATGTGAACAATATTTTAATAGGTGTTGTTATTGCAGAATAAGTCTCACATAAGTCTTTGTATTCATTAAGAAACTCAATAATGGACACTGATAAAAGATGACGAAAATCAATAAGTTCATGATGCTATCGATTTCTTGAATTTTGAATAAAGAGGATGAAGCACACAAAGCCTGACTAACTAACTAGTCAGAGTAGAAATTTATCAGGGCGAACTGAGAGCCATGTCAAAAATGCTTGGTTTTGGAAGACCTTTATCAGCTCTGAAACATGAGATTTTGATCTAAATGAAATACCTAGATTGGTCAACATGTCGACCGGAATAAGAGCCAAGTTCTGCCTCTTTGATTCTCAAATGATCAGGGTCTTATATTTACTACAGAGCTACACAAATATAACTTGACTTGGCAGTTGGAAGAGACCCATTTTAACTAGAACCCTAGAACTAGACGCCCAATTCGGGCTCGAAAGTTCCAAAAATAGACCCATTTGACTCTCAAAGGATCAGGATCTTAGACTTCACATAGAGCTAAACAAATTTTCTTTTTTGGATCTTTGAAAGCTTCTATTGTTCTTAGGGCCTGTCTTTGTTAAAGTAAAAAATTTAATCTATTTTTAATGACTAATTAAACATAATTTTCAAAATCTTATTAGGAGCACATCAAGGACCCAACTCTGCTATCCTAACAAAATTTGATGCACTCCTGATAGTTAAATAAACAAACCCTTAATGCGGCCAGTCACGGGTCCCATGCAATATACCTGGCCTAAAGACTCGGTGCAGGTCCAAAGACAGTTGACCAACCAATACCTACTTAGTAGGTCAACCCATATACCAGCAACATTTAAATATGAGGTCAAGAGTCATCATTTACTCATTATCCTTTTAAATGTGTACCTGACCAAAGTCTAATGCTAATTTCCTACCATCATGATCACCATCATTTGCCCAGGTAAAGCTCCTCAAACTTATCGTCACTGCAAGAGTAATATAAGTAAGACAGACATTAGGCCCACTTTACAATCTTGCATAAGTCTTGCCTACTTCAGCTCCCTATGGGCCAGAATTTACCAGGCTTTGTTGTATGACAGAAGTTGGTAAACTCTCCTCTAGGGAGCCAGAACAGCCCCTTAGTTTCCATAAGAGCAAGTGAGAGAGGCTCTGAGTCTCTGTTAGAAACTTGCAATAGTTCTTCTGTCTCTAAAAGAGATCTGTTCTACCTACACGCTTCTCATCTTCCCATAAACCTCCATGAAATAATTTATACAATCCAAAGCTTCTTACCATTTTATCATAATTTAAATTCACAATCCAACTGGATATGTTCTAATATTTTTCTGCTCAAAAACATTAGAAGGGTTCGTCAGAGCTCAAGCTTTGAAATCACCAACTTTACTTTCAAATAATCAAATAACTTAATCGCAATTAAAATGTAATTTTATATTTCTCTGTAATGTTCTCTTAAAACAATTATTTTCCACATCTCTATGATCATTGATTTTAATTCAGACATTCTGCGCATCTAATTCCATTAAAACCGAGTTCAAATATACAAGTAAAAAGACATACGAGTTTTAAATGTAAAATCTGCAATATTACTATCAAGAGAGAGTTTGAAATTTCGTTTACTAGATGATTAAATCGATCCTCGTAGGATAGAAACAGAATTCAATTGAAAAGTTGACCATAATAAGGAGAATAAAATTTTAAACCCACTAAAATTGTTCTAGAATAAATTTAAAATTGATAATTAATAAAAAAAAAAGAAATTTAATTATCAATTCCACTTGATTAATTGAATAATATCCATTTAATCAGAATTATTTCATTTAGAAACAGTCATCATTGCATAATCAAACCTATCAAGCTTCTCATCAATGCCTAGTTAATTAAAACACGTCACTACATAACTCATGATTAACGAGTCTTTTTTAAACTTCTCATGTCCTTTGACTTATTCGATTTTAATTGAAATTAATGTACTTCTCATATTTCTCATGTTTCCTCAATCTCGAAATATTTTATCACCACTTTCTCATTATCAGCTTGACTATAATTCTTATTAATCACTTTTTAAACTATAATCAATCAAGTGCATGACTATAAATTGAATAATTAATGAAAATTATAAATCATTTATGATATAATAGAATCATTGTTTTTATCATTTTGATTTCCATCACATTTAATACTCTGGTCAGATTTCAATATTGATTTTAATTAATTCAAGATGAAGTCTGTCATTGATAGGAAATCAAGACAAGCTTGCTTTTAGATAACTCATCATTCTGAGATGCTTTTTTGATTATTTTTCACCTGGTCCAGGTCCAGGTTCATTAATAAGCACAGTAGATCCAATCAAAGTTTGATCACCAAACCTAGCATATCTTTAGTGATAGACTTGATCAAATGCATGCATATATAGCACAAATTACTCCAACTTTAAATAAAATAAATTACTACTATAATATTTCAATATAATTGGGTAGATTCTTAATCTTGATTCAACATTTATCAAAATAGATTTCAATTTTATTTGGCTTGAATAAAATCAATTTTCAGTGGAATAAACTCATAATAAACTGACTGTAAGAAAGTATAAATTTTATTTTCCTCGAAATCAATTTAACAATTCAGATGTAATTTTCTTTATGATAATGAAATGAAAAACAATGAAAGAATTTTCTGTCGTCATCTTAAACAAACATTCATTTATTCTTTGAAATGATTATTTTTCTCTTACTCTTATCTCCAACGTCTTCCTCATCTACATGACAATTGATACCATTATCAAGTAGACACGATTGAACTTGCAGTGAGATGGATAATAGATATGTACCTGACTGAAATTTGACTCGTAAATCTTGAAAAGTCTGCACTTTATTGCTCTGTGGAAGTTGATGAAGCTCTATAGCCATATCTAGATCAAAGGATGTCTCTGTTTCTAGCATCAAAAATCAATCATCTATCAAGTCTATCACATTTATCAAGTTTTTTTGAATTTCAATAGTCAATTCCAACATCAATCAAAATCTCACTTTTTATCTTTTACGTTAAATCTTTTTTGATAGACAGAAGATATTTATAATTTCTGTATTCAAATGGTTTTACAGATTTTCTGCACAAAAAGCTAATGTGTCTGGTTGTGGCTTTGATATCTCCCAATCACTCTTTTGAAAAAATCTTTCTATTGAATATAATTTTTGTATTTCGTGAGACTGTTCAATTTGTCACTTTTTTTTATCATTAATTGTTCATACTTAGAATAAAATAGTTTGCTGAGTTGTGAAATGTTGGTTTGTGTTTGCATAAAATTAAAGTTTTGATGGATGTTATAGAATATATGTTACACTTTTGATTGAAAAATCATTCCATTGTTGGAACAAAAACTGTAAGATCTATTAGTTTTATAAGAAATACTTCTAGAATAAAAATAGACAAATGAATTGTTTTATCATACTACAACATTGAATTATTAATTGATCAATGAAACAAGTTCATGCATCATCATCTGGACTACTTTGACTTGAAATAAGCTGTTTTTTGCTGATAGATTGCCACTTGGTAGCCGATTAACTCTTTGGTGAAGCTTAAACTGGTCAAATTTAAGTGTAATTTTATTCAGTAAACATTGATTAAAAAAAAAGAAGTCACTTGAACTCTGAAAGTAAAATTGATCAAAAGAAGAACATTCAACTGATGGTCTGAAGTAATAAGAGTATTTCTAATTACAGCTGCGGAAGCCAGTATCGACACTTTCGATTCCTGGGGCGATGAGAAGTAGCAGCGGGGCTGGGGGTGTACCAGGTAGTGGAGGAAGTGGTTGTGGTGGTGGTGTACTAGGAAGTGCCGATGATGCTGGTATTGCTTTGGTTGGAGTGCACTCTGAGTATCCTCGCTACATGGACGAGCGTGGTCTCAGTGGTGGACCAATCAAAGGTGCACCTTCAGGCAGTATTGGCCCCGCATCGAAACATAAACCAAATGTTGGCTATCGCCTTGGTCGGCGGAAGGCCTTGTTTGAAAAAAGAAAACGAATTAGCGATTATGCTCTTGTTATGGGTATGTTTGGAATCATTGTTATGGTCATTGAGAACGAACTGTCCAGCGCTGGAGTTTATACAAAGGTAAGTGAACAATTGATTTATGCTATTAGATTGATTTACCAAGTAATATCTACTTGGTAAATTAACCCAAGGATCAATAACATTTAAATCAACCTAAATTGCTTAGCTCTGCCTTAGAAAGAAAATTTTCTTCATATCCACAAGTATACCATTCTAAATCTCCATTATTAGCTTTTTTTCCATCACTTTCTAACATCAAAGGAATTATTTCAATCTCAAGCTTTATAGCTGGACTTTGCTTCTGACAATGACAATTAAATTATCAAATTGTTTATTAAATTATAATTATAAATTTATATTATATCATTGATTATGAATGTAGGGGATTATTGCTATTGAATTATTTATATATTGAATGACATCACTGGAACAGTCAGGAATGTCAATCATCAAATTGTGTTCTAAATTCAAAGCTTCTATAAATTTTAATAATTACTTTTCGAACAACCAAATAATTAATACTTATATGAAAAAAAAAATATTTGACTCTATAATTACTTAAAGAAGAAAGAAGAAGAAAATTGTATTATTTTCTATATACAGATAATAGAGGTGCTCTCTCTTAATTGTAGCAAAACTTACAGAATTCTATTAGAACATCCAAAGTGTTGGCACAAGTGTGGTGCAGTTTGAAAAAGAATTTGTTCTATGAACTTCCTCAAGCCTTTCCTACCAATTGATGGGTGTTGAGTAAATACATATGTATAAATGTGTTCAATGTTGGATGTTATAATCAAACTACTAAATTTAACATACCTTACATTGGATAAATTAATTATAGACATATTCTATGCCACTTCAGAGGTAAAATGTACTTCACTGTGAACAACGCTAGACTGCTCCAAACTTGTCAATTAGTTTGCTTTCTTTGATACCTTTTTTGTGCACAACATTTTGATGTAACTTTGCTAAATATTTATTCATTATGAAGTCATCGAATTCTAAACCCTTATCGTTCGCTATTTTCTGCAATGTTACAATGGATTGTGAATAAAAATATTTTAGATTGAAAATTTCCTGCTGTTCAATGATATTTTTTGACCAATTGAGCAAATATCGAGGAAGTTTCAGCATGTAGTTGAAGTATTTTGTACCATTCACCAGATTTTTTTTTCTCATTAAAGGAATTGAATTTCTTTTAACATAATAATAATCATAGTTTACAATAGCATAGATTTAATCTGGTTAATATTTTTTCTAGTATATTATTATTTTTCACAATAGATGTATATTAAATGAAGCTGCTTTGTAAAATTTTTCCTGATTGAACGTTTGTATTGACACTCCAAGTTCTGTTGATTTTATAGGGACGAAAAGATAGTTTCCTATTACCATAATAGTTGTTCAAGGCCGTGACGGATTTTAACCATTGATGAATGCAAGTAGATGAGAAGCAGATGCTTAGGAAAGTGCCAGGAGAAGTTGAGTCCAGTTGACCAACTTCTGCCTCTTTGACTCCCAAATGATCAGGGTCTTATATTTACTACAGAGCTACACAAATATTACTTGACTTGGCTGTTGAAAGAGACCCTTTTTAACTAGAACCCTAGAACTAGACGCCCAATTCGGGCCCAATAAGTTCCAAAAATAGGCCCATTTGACTCTCAAAAGATCAGGATCTTAGACTTAACATAGAGCTAAACAAATTTCCTTTTTTGGAATCTTCAAAAGCTTCTATTATTCTTAGGGCCTGTCTTTGTTAAAGTAAAAAATTTAATCTATTTTTAATGACTAATTAAACATAATTGTCAAAATCTTATTAGGAGCACATCAAGGACCCAACTCTGCTACCCTAACAAAATTTGATGCACTCCTGATAGTTAAATAAACAAACCCTTAATGCGGCCAGTCACGGGCCCCATGCAGTATACCTGGCCTAAAGACTCGGTGCAGGTCCAAAGACAGTTGACCAACCTACTTAGTAGGTCAACCCAAGTACCAGCAACATTTAAATATGTGGTCAAGAGTCATCATTTGCTCATCATCCTTTTAAATGTGTACCTGACCAAAGTCTAATGTTGATTTCCTACGATCATGATTACCATCATTTGCCCAGGGAAAGTTTCTTAAACTTATAGTCCCTGCAAGAGTTAGTAAGACAGACATTAGGCCCATTGATGAATGCAAGTAGATGAGAAGCAGCTGCTTAGGAAAGTGTCGGGAGAAGTTAAGTACAGTTGACTAACTTCTGCCTCATTGACTCCCAAATGATCAGGGTCTTATATTTACTACAGAGCTACACAAATATAACTTGACTTGGCAGTTGGAAGAGACCCATTTTGACTAGAACCCTAGAACTAGACGCCCAATTCGGGCCCAAAAGTTCCAAAAATAGGCCCATTTGACTCTCAAAAGATCAGGATCTTAGACTTCACATAGAGCTAAACAAATTTTCTTTTTTGGAATCTTCAAAAGCTTCTATTGTTCTTAGGGCCTGTCTTTGTTAAAGTAAAAAATTTAATCTATTTTTAATGACTAATTAAACATAATTTTCAAAATCTTATTAGGAGCACATCAAGGACCCAACTCTGCTACCCTAACAAAATTTGATGCACTCCTGATAGTTAAATAAACAAACCCTTAATGCGGCCAGTCACGGGCCCCATGCAGTATACCTGGCCTAAAGACTCGGTGCAGGTCTAAAGACAGTTGACCAACCTACTTAGTAGGTCAACCCAAGTACCAGCAACATTTAAATATGTGGTCAAGAGTCATCATTTACTCATCATCCTTTTAAATGTGTACCTGACCAAAGTCTAATGCTAATTTCCTACGATCATGATCACCATCATTTGCCCAGGTAGAGTTCCTCAAACTTATAGCCATATTGCAACAAGTCATACCTAAACACAGGTCTCTTTTACTTTAGCTCCCTGAGAGGAGAGTCAGAGTTTGCCTGGCTGAAATGTATAGGATACTCTTCTTCCAGATTTATTATTCCAATCATGCTTCACAACTGGACCATCATCGACATACCAACCAGTGCTGGTCTATTTATTAGCAATGACTGAGTAATAATATCAGGCCCAAAAGTATCCTATACTACCAAGTCAATAGCAATTTAAATTGCTTAGCTTTGCATTAAAAAGAAAATTCTTTTCATATTTACTTTATTAGGACATCAGTCATTTTTTTTTTAGTTGGTCATCATTAAATAATATCATCACATTTATCCAAGAAATTCTTTCAAAAAACATTCTTCATGCTATTAATTTAACAATAAATAATTTATTGACTCTTTACGTATTTCCTATTTACTTACCACTAGAAAACCAAACATCTCCAATAAGTATCTCACTATTGGCTATTTAATTACCAACCATTAATTAGTGGATTACTGGCGTTGTTTTTAGATCTGACCTTCTCCAGTGAAGAACTACAAGCTGATAATATTTTTTGCTTGTTAACTGTTTTATTATCTTCTTAAAAAGACTTTATTCAGAGGTCATTCATTCTCTAGGAAAAGTTCATTTTAAAATATCTACTTCTTAACATTATCTAATAAAAAAAGCTTCTATTAATTATCGTTAAATTACCAGAACATGACAAATTGCATGAAAATCTATCATTTTTCTATTCACACTGAATAATTGTCAGAAAATTAGGTGTAAATGATCACGAATAAATGAACTATAACACTGGATAATGGACTGCTTTCACATAGCTATAGAACAGTCGATTCAAATTCGTTGCCTCATACATGTAAACCAGCGTATCATAGAACGTGGCCCGCATTTACCTAAAACCATGCCAGTAAACATAAGTAATATCTATTGTCTCTTGTCTACATAGTCTATTAAATTAAACCTCCATTTAATTCTACCTTTATTTTTTTTATTTAAATTGTTGGACCTCATTTTATCTGTACATTCAATTGAATTCTTTTATCAAACTTCGAGTCAGATTATTCATATAAAAAACTCACATTTCATAAAGCAAAAAATAATTATAACAATAAAAAAAAACAATTTCTGTTTATTTAAACTTGATAATTGATCAGCAAAATAAATTGCTTTGTCAATATTTAAAATATAACAACTGCTTATATGATAGTTGTATTGTTTGAAGTGATAAAATTTAACAAATCAATTGATAAAAAAAAAATCTAAGAAACTTTTCAACTAAACTAACTTTAAATCTAATATACTCTAACGTATATTTTGCATTCCTATAAACGTTGATTGCATGATTCATTTATGAGCAATCGTGGTAAAAAAAATTGTTACCATATATTGAAGAAACTGAGATAAAGTGAAATGTTGAGGTACAGAAAAACACCAAAAAATTCTTTATCAGGAATAAAGTAGGTCAATCTTTTCCTATCAATGTATTTTTTTTTTTTTTACTAAAAAACATTTTTAGTATCTATCAACAACTATTACATTTCACTTTTTCATTACATTTGTCTTTTTTAATGTTTATCCATGATAAATATTTTCATTAAAATTAATTACCCCTCATAATAAATAAAAATATATATATATATCTCAATTTGTTCTAGATAATAAAGTATTGTTTTTTATCTCAGACGTGCTCTATCTTTTCATTTTATCGTAGTTTCCCTCATGTGTGTTCATTTAAGTGTGGAATGTTGGAGTAAAATCAAACAATTCTACTTGTGGATTGCTGAGTACAAAAGTCATTCTATGAAAGTATTCTTTAAAATACTGGAAATAGTATTTTCTGATAAATTCTGTGGAATGAGTCTAAAATAGTTCTCAAGTTCGAGTTAGGATCAAAACTGACCTGATACTGTAGCTTATAGGCTAGTCTAGCTTTTCTGGGTCCAATGGTGAGCCAGAAGCAAGCTAGCTTAGCTATTCTTCATTCAATCTCAGACCAAGAATGGGCCAGTCTTGTTTCTTGCTAGCTTTGAAGGCACATCAACAAGTCTAAAAGAACATCAAGGTGATCAAACCCTGGTATTGGTGTTGCTAGCTAGGTTCAAGTTTAATAATTAGTAATTAAATAAATAGAAAATTGAGAGATTGGTACTCTTC